TAAAAACATATAACCACTACTAATGCATTCATAATCTATACTTATTATATCATACAAAATCATACATTCTGTCATGCAACCACTATCCACTTGTACACACACATCATTCACATATTCTTATAACAGGTTTCCTAGCACAAAACATGTAAATCATATGTAAGGTATTTATTATTATCTCTTTATTAGTCTTATTTTCGTTCTTTATCTTTTTGTCATATGTTCTTGCATCAATTCCTTTTAACCAAGCTATATTCACATCATCATATCACATATATCACTTCATACCATAAAGATTACAAACCAATCACATACTATCATGCAAGGTTCTTTTATATTATTTCCTTTATTAGCCCATGTACACATGTGAGAACCATAGATATGTGAGTCTATAGAGGTTGTGCACTAATGCTGTCACCACAGCTCGTATAATTGCACCGAAGTGCCACCTAGAATTGCACCAGAGTGCCGCGTAGAATTGCACCGTTGTGCCATATAATAATCTCCATAAGGACCACATATCATTCCTTAAGAATCATATACATATACTAGGGATCAAGTATGTGTATCACAAGACTTCACACATGTTCCAAAGAATATATATATATATATATATCCTGAAGGACCGCGTAGACCCTCGACTCTTGGCATGCCAACTATACCCCTAGCTCTCAAGACACATAACATGGGCATTATCTTTTATATCCTTGCACATATTCATGTAACATATCACATATTCATTTAAGCTCGTAGTTTCATTCACACATACATGTAATCACGTAGTTCATGTAAATTCTCTTATGATTTCATATTCATATAATCACATAATTCACTTACACATAACACATTTTTCATGTAATTCAATAATATCCCTTAGTTTATATCTCTTGATCATTTAATCATAACTTCTTATCACATATCTCATAGCCATGTCTTCATATATTCATTTCATCACACAGGCTCATAGTTTCTGGTCATATTATTCACATTCTCTGACTTATCTCTTATGATATGGTAATCACTACACTTATTTCATATAACTTATTACCGTATAATTCACATATAAACACCTAGATCACTTTCACATAGCTTATATAAGTTTCCTGAATCCTTTCATATTACCTGATAACGTATATCATATAGTTATATAATAACTTATCTCATTTCGTCTACTTTATGCTTTATTTCTTTATATTCCCTTAGATTATATAACTTATGTTGTATTTCTAAACATATATATTACACTTAATCATATTTTATTTATATACTACTTTAATCCATTTAATTAATTCAATTTCATACATTCCTTATAACCCCATAGATCTTTAGCATATAATTTATCATATATATACATATCAGCGCTTTGTATTCAAGTTCCCTAATAAATATATTATTCTCTTTCCATTCTATAATTCAATCTTATTTAGTTTCCTCAATTCTCATTAAATCAAATAACTCTATTTTATTAATTCTCATAACCATGTATTTCACATAGTCTTATATTTCATTATCTTATTACTTAAATTTATTCTCCTATGATTCTTCATAAACCTCTATTTCCATTTCCCTACATCTCTTAACTTATCTTCTATATTCATATAATTTCATAACTTATTTGATATTCTCTCATTAACACTTAATAGTGTGTGTACATAAACCACATAGCACAGACAAAACATATCAATTCATATAATCAAGCATACATACACTCATATTCAACTCATGCCTTTAATCATGAATTCATATGTAACTCTTCAGGAAATAGACTCATCGCAAGTCTTTTTCCCATCACCTATCATAGACTATTGAATATGCACTCACCTGGCCTCACTAGTCAATTCCAATCTCTTATCTTTCCCTTTGATCGATCTTACTTGACAATGATTCTGGAACTCTTTCAGGCTCTGAATCTACATAATTATACATTTTCAAGACAATTATTAGATACATACACCTTGTAATTTGATACTAGCAACTTAAACAAACTTAATAAACCCATATTCACATTTTTCCTTAGGGGTGCATCGATGCACTATAGGTGCATCGATACACAAAATGGCTTCGAATTTTTATGCATCGATGCATCCCCTTAACGCATCGATGCACCTTCAAAATTTGTATTGGTGCATCGGTGCACACTCAAACTGCATCGATGCATTCCAGGTATTCGGTGTTCTTCTTTTAAGAGTGCATCGGTACATATTGAATGTGTACCGATGCATCATGCCCATAAATTGTATTCAAGCCCGAAAATCATCAACTCTTCACTCAATTCTTCTATTTTAAGCCCCTAACATGTCATCAAACTCAACTACCACTTTATAAACCAACTTATATCCATATAAGCTATCTTTATCTTTCATATCTCTTCATGATTCTTAAAATTAAGAATCATTCCCAATTTTCCATGTTATCCAAACTTTGATTTAACACTTATAACTTCTTATTCACACCTATGACAAAGTCAAATTTCATCACCACATTCATTTATTAACTCTTTTTCAGAAATTCGCTTTGAAACTCATTTTCTTTAATATTTTGTAACTCCTTTATGTTTTGATTTCTAAGATAACTTAAGCTTCCTTAAGCTTAGTTATTATCTAATGATCAAAACCCAACCCTTAATTCCACAAATAATCAAGAATTCATAAAACTCACATTTTCTCTTGAAGCTCACGGTTGGAGAAGAAGAAGAAAGAAAGAAAGCTCTGGAGAATTCTCTCATTTCCCACGTGCTTATTACCCTTTATAAAGGGCAATAAAATATTTCCTGAGAAATGACCATAATACCCTTATTACTTCCAAACTTTGTTATAAAATCCAACACCAACATTTTTCATTAAAATCCCTAAACTTTTAATCTTTCTGAGATTGGTCACTAAATTACCAAAAATTCCATTTTGGTCATTGACCCGACTTTTGGGATGTTACAGTCAGTCTTCTTACCACGAGCAATGACGAGTGCTCATTTGGTAATCTTATTTTCACAGCCTGAAAAGGTTGTATTATATCCTTCTCCATCAAGCTGTCCTACAGAAATCAAATTTGTTTTGAGGACAAGAATATGCCTCACTCCTTTCAGCTTCCAGGTGGTCTGGTTTGGCAACTTTAATTGGATGTCTCATTTTTCGACGATCTTCAAGGTTTCATCATCAGCTAGATGAACCTTCCCAAAATCACCACTGACATAGTTCTCCATGATTTATTGGCATGGGGTGGAGTGGAAAAATGCCCCTGAATCCAAGATCCATGATTCAATCGGACTGTTGACGCTTAGAATCATGGCATCACCTGTCTTCTCTGTCATGTTGGTAGATTATTGTGCGCCGATATCTTTCTTCAGTGCTCGATAATCTCTTTTAAAATGACACTTCTTGCCACAATTATAACAGTTAAAATCTTTCTTTCCCATTCTTGATTTTCCCGTTATAGATTTTGATCTGCCATGATTTGGATTTCTTTATGAAGTTATCTCTCTAGACTTCGTGTGCAAGGCTGAGGAGCTTGACGCTTCACTCGATTCTCTCCGTCGAATTTCTTTACTCAATACCAAATCCCGAACATCGTCGAATTTCAATTTACTGTTTCCGACGAGCTGTTGACTGCTGTAACAGTAGCATTTCAACTGTCTGGTAGAGATGATAAGAGAATTAAAGCTCGAACTTCATTATCGAATTCAATTTCCACGGAACTCAACTGGGTTGTGATTTTGTTGAGTTCATTTAGGTGTTAAGCCACTGATGCCCCTTTCGCCATCCACAAATTGAATAATCACCTCATCAAGTGAACTTTGTTTGAGGCCGATGGCTTCTTATACATACTGGAGAGAGCCGCCATAAGACCCGTCGTTGTCTTTTCCTTTGCTATGTTGAAAGCAACATTGCGGGATAACGTCAGTCGGATAACTCCGAGGGATTGTCTGTCGAAAAGAGCCTAGTCTTCATTCTTCATGCCCTCTGGTTGCTTTCCTAAGAGAGGTTGATATAGATTTTTCTGGTACAGAAAATCTTCAATTTGCATCTTCCAAAAGCCAAGTTTCGCACCATCGAACTTCTTAATTTTCACATTCTCTTCGTATGTAGCCATCGCTCCCACTCGAATCTGGATTCTTTTGGATCGTTTCTGACAATTCTTACGAACACCATGTATTAGAACACCTCCGTCGACAAACTCATATTGTCAACCAAATTTTACTATTCACGAAATTCACTATTCATATGAATAGTAACCTCGCAGAAAAACTGACAAAATTAACAACCAAAAGCTCTTGATACCAGTTGTTGGGAATTAAACGAGTAATTTCTCTATAACCAGATTAGTAAAAATTTGAAATAAAAGCAGAAAAATAATACCCAAAATTGATAATGGAGTTCGGCCAATTATGCCTACGTCTCCAGATTGCTGCAGATATTTTACTAAAGAGAGAAAATTTACAGGTGTTTACAAAACACTCACAACTCATAAAAAAACTCTCTAAACTCTTTAGTATTTAGAGAAAGAAATGATTTGGGATGATTTTGAAGCTAAATGGGTTAAGGTATTTATAGTTGAAGCTTAAGGACTAATATTATAAATATCCTAAAAGTGCAAGAACTAAAATGCAATTTTCCCATTACTATTTTCAACAAAAATTAAATGCAGTGAATTCGGTGCCCCCTTAATTGACTTTCAACAGTCCGTCCACCAGAGTTATGCTACATTAGCCCATCCGTTAAGTTTTTAATGACGGTACTAAATTGAAACAAAAACCAAACATTAAGTATGATTTTTAAAATAATAAAAGTTTAGGTACTAAAACGGATCAAAACTGATAGTTTATGTATTAAATGCATAATTTACTTTTTTTAAAGAGTTTAAAACGAAAAGAACAAAAACTGTAAAACTCTAATTAATTGATCCTCACTCCTCTCTTTTTCCTCAACCTCTAGCTGTCTCTCCTACCAAACTTCCGTTTCTTATTGTTGTTGATTTGAGCAGCTACGGTTTAGATTTTTGTTATTGTTTGGATTGAAAAAAATGGATCTTCCAAGTTTATCTCTTGTTCTTCAAGCAGCTCTTGTTCTTCAAGCTGCTCTTAGTTCCAATCCTACTGAACGCAAAGCTGCTGAACAAAGTCTTAATCAGGTTTCTTTCTTTTAATTGTTATTAATTGGTTTGTTTATTTGATTTTTGATCAAGACATTGTTTTATTGAATTTTCTAGATTTTGTTTGGTTTCAGTTTCAGTATTCGCCGCAGCGTCTAGTGAGAGTATTGCAGATCATCGTTGATAATAACTGCGATAGCGCGGTTCGTCAATTTGCTTCTATTCATTTTAAGAACTTCATTGCTAAGAGCTGGGCTCCTCTTTATCCAAGTATCTAGAATTTCGATCACTTAATTATATGCTTATTTTTATTTTATCTGATATATATGTTTATGAATATGAATTATATTTTTGTTTTTAATAAACGTAGATTGGCAACAAAATATTTCTCCCAGTGATAAAGATGTGGTTCATGATAATATTCTTGTGTATGTGGCTCAAGTTCCTCCTTTGTTGAGGTAAAAATTTTTGCTCTCCTTTTTTTTAATTAATCACTGGTATCCGATCTATTGACCGACTAATCCAGATCGGGTACTGCAGAGGCGAGGGCGATCCTCCTAACCCAGTTTGCTCCATTCGCAAACGCCAGGATTTAAACCTCTAACCTTGCTTAAGGGACCTAGTGCCTCATCCTACTAGATCAACTGGTTCTTGGTTGCTCTCCCTTTTTCTTATTGTTCGTTTAGAATTGTTTACTGTTTCATTGGCGATGCATGCAGATTATGTGCTAAAGTTGTAAGATTCATCATATCGGCTTTATTGCAGAGTGCAATTCGGTGAGTGTCTCAAGACCATCATCAATGCTGACTATCCGGAGCATTGGCCGCGTCTTCTAGACTGGGTGAAGCATAACCTACAAGATCAGCAAGTTTACGGTGCTTTGTTTGTGTTGCGGATTCTTGCTAGGAAATATGAGTAAGTATACACCTTATTTTCTCCTTTTGGCTTTTTTTTAACCCGAGTTACCTACTTAAGGTGATAGGAAGTATTTTTTTTTATTCAACTAGCATCTTTCCATGGCAGTAATGCTTGATTTTGATATGCTAGAAGTCAGCTTAATCTTTTTAAAAGTGTTACATTGTTTTAATTCAAATAACAACTAATTGTTTCTCATAATTTGGTGCATGCTCATATCTTTCATTGTTTTTTCAATTCTAATTCCATAATTTCTTTATTATTCTAGTTCAAGTCGGAGGAGGAGAGAGCTCTTGTTCACCACATAGTTGAAGAGACATTTCCTCGTCTTCTCAATATAAACTTGTGCAGATTGACGAACCATCACTGGACGTAGCAGATCTTATCAAGCTTGTTTGCAAAATTTTCTGGTCATCCATCTACGTAAATGTAATCACCAATTTTACCCCTATATATATATATATATTATTATTAATTACAACAAAATAAAAAAAGGGAAAATCCTTTAAAATCAATGCCCCGGTTACTGCTCCATCATACCCACCCTACAAGGAGTAAAAAATGAACAATGTCAGGATTTCTTTTTTATTTTTTATTTTTTTTCGTTTTTGTTGATACCTACCGTAATGGGTATAAAAAAAAGCAATTGTAAGGAATTTTTGGAAGTAATAAAAAAAGAGAGAGAATTAGCACCGAGCATCAATGTTATTAAAACCGGACCGGACCGGCCGGTTCGACCGGTTGAACCGTGAACCGGTGGCATGTCCGATCCGGTTAACTCCCAAAACCGGATTAGCACAGAACCGGTAAAGAACCGGAAGAACCGGCTGAAAACCGGCAAAACCGGTTTGAACTGCCGGTTCACTTTTTTTCTTTAAAAAAATAATTAAACCAAACAACGTCATTTGTTCAACAAGCCGAGTCAAATTCGAGTATTGCTGAGCTCGACTCGAACTCGAAAACTTTAAAAGTAAGTTCAACTCGACTCAAAAACTCACGAGCTAAAAATTATCAACTCGAAATATAATATTAAAACTTGAAATCGAAAAGGCTCGAACTCAAAAAAAAATTTAGAAGTTCGATTGAAGCCTAAAATTTGAGCTCAATTGAAGCCTAAAATTTGAGCTCAATTGAAGCGAAAGAATAGTTCGCTTTGTGCTCACCAAAAGGCTCCATAATTTTGAATGTCAAATTACCTCTATTATTTATAGAAGTAAGTTGGGATGCTCTTCTATGTTTCTTAGCCATGTGAGATTATTTTGTTCTCATATTTTTACTCTTTAAACTTTTGGGATACTCTTCTATGTTTCTTAGCCATGTGGGATTGTGTAACAACCCGAATATTTACAAAATAATATTTAATTGAAATTGGAGGTTAATTGTAAAAATTGGCGAAAATTGGGGACTAAATTGAAAGATTTTAAAATTTGGAGCTTGTTTTAGAGTTAAAGAAAATTTAGGGATCAAACCCTGAATTTACCCAAAATAATTAGGTAAGTTTGGGTATATATGTGGTATCGTGGTTTTCTGTTTCAAACAGAAAACCACGCCCAAATCCCCTTCCCACGCCCAAATCCCCTTCCCCTACGTCAGTTTCCGACCTCGATTCCGGCGCCGTCCGAATTCTGATCGTCGTTTTAAAACTACCGTTGTGTTCATCTTCAAGCGAGGAATAAACCCTTCAAATTAATTGAAGCGAAACGCTGCCAAACGTTGGGAATTTACAGTCAAAGTCTCGACGTTATTTTTAGCTCCATCGCCGAGAAAATCTCAAATTCACCGCCGATCGTTGCTCCGTTTACGACACCTCCTGCACCATCGTGATCCTTGTGCTGTTTCGAGTCTACCGGTGTCAACCTTGTTCGCCATTGACGGCGGCGCGTGAGGAGGTGGAGTAGTCAAAGTTTCGGCCGAGTTGAAATCGAGCTCTCAGCCGTTCAAAAATTTGAACCGATTGTTGTAAGTATCTCGAAATCGCTCAAAATAATTTTTAGGAAATTTTCCGGGAATTTTCCGACACCGTAGCACTATTCACGCGCCGCCGCAGGGAGAGTGAACTGCTGGAAAACCGGTTTGACCAGTTTTGAACCGGTTTGACCGGTCTGAACCGGTTCTGAACCGGGTTGACCCGACCCGACCGTTGACCCGACCAGACCGTTGACCGTTGACCGTGACCGTTGACTTTCTTTGACCAAAATTTAAAATGGCTTTGACCGACCCTTAAACGACTGTAAATCTTTTCCGAGTATACCTATCCTGATAGTTTTCGATGTGCCGAATCCATTTTCGCAGTCCGTTTCACCAAATTCAAACCCGAAGGTCTCCAAATTGACGGTCAAAGTTGTTGACTTTGACTTTGACCAAGAATTTGAATTTTCAAAAAGTCATACTTTATGTTTTTCGACGTCCTGATTCTGATTCCGCAATCCGTTTGGCCAAATTCAGTCTCGAAATCCTCCAAATTGATAGTCAAACCCGAAAAATGCTTATATACTTAAGAATTTTAGCTTTGAACAATTAAGTAAGATTTGGGGCTGATAAATTATTATTATTTGAAGGTACACGAGACTCTCCGGATCGTTCAACAGCTCGACCCAGCTCTTCTAGATCAGTTAAACCATGTATGCCAGTATTCACCCGTAAGACCCGTAAATTTTATGATTTTAGAGATTTATTTATGTTACCCATAAGTAATATAGTGTTACTACAAAATAGGTTCGAAAACTATAGTAGAGCGTGGTGAAACCAACAATCAGTAGATCTACTATTTGAAACTATTACCGAGGTGAGTTCCCTATTTATTACTGAACTGTTTTATTTGTTTTAATATGTGGTACACTGAATTCTTTGGTTACCGTATTGTTGATGCACCGATTTAATGTGATGATTTATGGATTATGACTGTTATCTGATATTTTTTTTTGAAATGGTATATGATTACCATGTTTATGGATTTATGGAATTTATAACACGGTGCAATTGAATTTTTGGAATACGAATTTATAAAGTACAGCTCTGATCAAGCTGGAAAATTTTACGGACCTAATGTGACTCTTAGGTAGGCTCTGCGGCCCTGAGATCATTCTCGGGTAGGCCCTGCGGCCCTAAGATGTGTTCTTAGGTAGGCTCCACGGCCCCGAAATCTATCTTGGGTAGGCTCTCAGGCCCTAAGATGTTCCCTTAGGGTAACGTTTTTTTAAAGAGATTTACTGCAGTATAATTTTATGAGACATAATGGGCTATGATTTGTTTAGTGTACCTATTGTAATTTTATGGTAATGTTGGGACACACTGAGCCTAGCTCACCTTTCAAAAATGTTTTTCACCTTTCAGATACTGTTGGTTAGATACCCTGGATTGAGCACTTGGAGGATTAACATATCTCTTGAAGTATATCTGATTGTAATGTTTTTACCTTGCAAGTTGACTTTATTTTGTTAACATGGACCTTATTTTAAAGTATGGGATTTTAATATGATGACACTTTTGCTATTACTATTCGGTTTATCGTGATTTGATTTTTAAGATATGTTTTAAATTAATTTATTACTTATTGGTATTATATTTACAAGTTGGGTTTTGATAGTATGATTTATTATAATTTCATGTCATTTATAATGTGATTTTACATTGATTGAATAACGGTTTCGAAAAAAATGTCTTAAAGAATCATAATGTGATCCACTAGACTTAGTCGAAACGCATAGGCCTGGTCTAGGGGGTTACAGATTGTTTTTTTAAACAATTAAACCAAATGACATCATTTGTTATGATTTTTTTAAACCCCAATTTTATTTTTTGATTATAGTTATATAATTATATTTATTATTTAATATGTTTTACCTTAAATATTATGTTGTAGTTGATTTGAATCATTTTGTTTCACTTGATTTTATGGTTTTTTATTTATACATGTTATGACTTGTAATGTTTTTATACCTTTTAATATTGTAAACTTAAAAAAAGTGTTACATATATATTAATATTGCTTTGAATATTATGTAAAATTAAAAATATATATTATTTTATATAAAATCCGGTTCAACCGCGGTTGAACCCGGTTGAACCAGTGAATCAGTGAACCAGTACCTTCACCGGTTCAATGTCCGGTCCGATTTTGAAAACATTGCTGAGCATAATCTAAACAAGAGGTATTCTACAAGCTTCTTCCCTTTTTTTTTGTTTGTGCATGAGTGTAAAATAAATAATAATAAAGAAAAAGAGGTAGAGGAGTGAGCGATTCGGTTACCTTTTAGATCGAGTCCTCGCCGGCGCAAGGGTGGTCGGCGTCGAGAAATACAGAATCATTTAAATAAACTTGTTATTTACTTATTTATTTTATGTTCGAACCATAGTACGACCTTGCGACGACTCGCCCTGAGGTATGATTTGCATTATTTAAGGCCCGGGTTAAATATTAAAAATTAACACTAAAATTTTATTTTGATTACTATTATTTTTTGTTATTTAATTTTATGCACATATAAATTTTTGCACTTTATTTATTTAATTTCGTTACTTTAATTTTCTGTCTTTTTATTTTTGCTCTTTATTTGTCGGTACTTTAATTTTAGTCTTTTAATTATTACGCTTTATTTTCTATTTATTCTATTTTAGTCACTAGTGGGTTCTGCTTTGTTATCTTCTTTATAAATTTGATGTTGTAGTTTCAATTTATGCTTCTTGATTATCATTGTTTCATGCTTTTAATTATTTTTATCATTGACTTTTTATTTTGTTTCATTTTAATATGATCTCTTATTTTTTATTTTAAATATAGTAGTCCTTTTATATATTTTAACATATAACCCATGTTTTAATCACCATTTGTTAAGATTGCAACTACTCTTATATTCGATATTAATACTTGGTAAGATTTCATTATACTCGTATGTTTTCAAGAACACTCTATCTTAGAATGGGCACAAAAAACATAGCTTGATCGAAGTAGTACGATTCGATACGATATTCAAATGAAAAATGAACTTGAAATAAGTCGAGTTTATTTTTATAAAAAATATAATTAATTCATTTTTATTTTAATTCAAATGATGCAATGTGTGTTTCTTTAAATAGTAAGTTATTTTATACTATTACTAATATTCAATTTACATTCGATTTGAGCTTTTTGATAACGTTGAGGAGGGATACATTTCTTGTATAAAGGAGAAAAAGATGAGATACCCTTCCCATTGGAGGATGTGTAAATCCCGTGATTTATTCTCAAATTAAGGAATGTTCTCTAATAATTAATTCGAAATAAGTTAATTAATATGCAATAAAAGGATCACACTTTAAATATTGATTCGATTTTTTTTTCCACCACGACAACATATAAGCGATTATGTACTAATTTTGGGCGCTGTGAGGTGCTTATTCTTCCACACGAGTAATCGACTCCCGAATCCTTAAAAATAAATTTTTGGTAAACACATACCATCTTTTGGTTTTTAAATGATTTTTTTCTAAATTGTTTTAAAAACGTTTTTAGGTATTCGACCTACATAACTCAAAGGTCGATGGCAACTCCAAATCAATTTAGTCAAAATAAACACAAAAATTCAATTTTTCTAAATAAGTCGTAAATTCGAGGTTTTAATTAAAAACTTGTTTGTTCATAAAAAAAAGACGTTACCACATTAAGTTTTTATTTTGCTAGTTTTATATTGCATCTTCAGTGTTTTATCACCTGATCTGGGAATGAGATGCTAAAGGGAGCTTCTGACATTTGTTTTATTTATTTTTTCTAATTCCTATTTTCCATTTTCAGTTTTTATTTTTACTTTTTGGTATATTTATGAAACTAATTTGTTTTTCACTTGAGATTGTGCCTATTGCTATTTGTAAAAAGTGTTTTTGATTCAGATTTGATAATTGTATATTGTGCTATCACTACTAACTCTTGATCTCTCATTATGTGATCTTCAATAAGATAATAGGCAGCCTTACTTTTCTTTTTTGTTCAGATGTGCAAAGTTTCTCAATATAGTACTAGCATGCTGCTAAATCCGTTTTAGTGCATTCTTATGGGTTTTGAGCTGCAGGAAAAAATGCATGCCAAATATTATGAACAAAACTTGTATGATGTTTCTGCTGTAATTTGTTTCCTTTCACTTGGATTTATGGGATATGTATGATTCATATTCCATCTTTGGGTTATTGTCTCTAATTTTCAGTTGGAGATTCCAAAGCAATTACTTGATCCAAATGTGTTCAATGCTTGGATGATGCTTTTCTTAAATGTTCTGGAGAGGCCCGTACCTATGGAAGGGCAACCTGTAGATCCTGATCTCAGGAAATCATGGGGGTGGTGGAAGGTGAAAAAAATGGACGATTCATATTTTAAATATGCTATACTCTCGGTATGTTTCAAAATTGCAACATGCTATGGAGTAATTTATGACGGGCTTTGTTATTAGACTTTTTGTGATTTCGGTGGCTATTTGATAGGTTTGGAGATTTAAAACTTAGGAATCCAGAAAACAGAGCTTTCGCCCAAATGTTTCAGAAGAATTATGCAGGAAAAATTTGGAATGCCACTTAAACTTTTTGGATGTTATTCGTGTTGGAGGCTATCTCCATGACAGAGTGAAGTCACCAGATTTTGTCCTGCTGCCCAACCGAGGAGTCTTCACGTTCACGCCTTCCTCTCCTATTCTTCCGACGAACGTTACTCCATGCAACCTACAAAGAAGAGTTGGATTAGAACTCAAATACTAGTCTAAAATAGGGTTTTTTAATACTATAAATAAGCATTGTAATTACCACACCAGAACACACAGCGAGATTACACAAAAGAAATACAAGAAAAGGAGTATTCAAATGGAAAACAAGTCTTGTAATCGTTCTACAGTAGAAGAAATAAAAGGTTTAATTTCTTTTTACCTTTGATTCGTTTCGACTTGCATGTGGCTTCATTGATTTTCGTCTTGTTGTTTTCAAGTAAAAAATACAAAGAAAAAATGGGTTTACGTCGATGAACATGGGGGTAGAATTTTTTTTCGAAACCTTCAACCTTAGATCTACCTCTCGAGGCTTGGTTTTTGAAGAAACTATTGAGATTTTCAGAACGAGGGCACAGAGAACTTTAAAAAAATGAAAGCTTTTTTTGATTTTGCCGCCGATGACCGGCGGCCGGCGCAGAACAACGACGGCGACGAGGCGGCGCGGGGCGGCCATTGGCCGAAAATTGGGGATCGTTGCCTGTGTTCTTCATTTTTGAAAAATCACGCAGAGAAAAAAGAGAGATGGGGGAGAGCTTTCGTGAGAGGAAGAAGACAAATAAGAGTCTTTTTAAAAAAATTAGCTTTTATACTCAGCCCGTGCGGTGACCCGTTTGTCAACCCGACCCGGGGAAGGATCCGCGTGTTTTTGTTAAAGGGTAAATCACCCTGTTAGTCCCCCTGAGATACAATTTACTTATTTTTACCCCAAGATCCGATTATTGCTTCGAAATTCTTGTAATTTGGTCACTTGATTTGTTTCCTTCTCAATTTAGTCCCTTGTATTCATGTTCTAATTATTATTATTTTATTTATTTATTTAATTTTATTTTTATATATATATTCCCTTTATTATTTGCATTATTTTTTTTTTTTTATCCTTTATTAAATATTTTTTTACACTTATATATATATATATATTCTCTTTTTTATATTCTATTATTTATATATATGGTATCTTTATGTATATATTTGTTTATAAATATTCTAATATATATATTTTTCCATCCTTTTTTCGTTATTACTATTATTTTTTTTGTTTTACCAAATATTTTTATTTATTTATTTATTATTTTTATTATTAATACTATATTATATATATACATATTACCTAACTAATTTGTTTTTTTTCTAAGCTTTTCTTCCTAGGCCCCCTTTGTTTTCCTACCTTCTCTCTTTCATCATATTTTCCCGATGAATTGATGGCATGGGGCCCTCTCATTTTGTTTTTGTTCCTTATTTTCTTTCCTTTTTTTCATCACGTTTATATATATATATATATATAGATATTTTATTCTAACTTATCTTATTTATTTAACACTATTTTCTTTTCATTCTTCTCTTCTCTTCATTTTGTTTTGTTTTATTTTTATTTATTTTATTATTTCGTTTTGTTTTATTATTTTATTTATTTTAATTTGTTTTCTTTTATTATTTTATTTTATATCTTAGCCATTTTCGGGGATTTATTTGTTTCATTATATGTGTTTCTTTTATTGTTTGATCTTGTATTTAGCATGTTTATTTTTTTATTTTCGTTATTGAACTTGTTTTCCTTGAATTATTTTTGTTCCTCCTTTTTATCTAACATTTTATCATTTAAGGGTATTTTCGTAAATTTGTTAAAGGTAGGTAATTTAGGATCAAATTTTACCTTCTAATTTAAAATTACAATTTTCTTAATTAAAGACAACTGGAAATTATATAGTACCGAAAGGACAGTTCAAGGGTGCTAACCCTTCCTTGACTGTAACCGACTCCCGACACCGACACATCTTTGGAAAGACGCAGATCATGTAAGAAATAAGGTATCCGATCAACCTATTTATTTTTAAATAAATGATCGGTGGCGACTCCAATTCATTTAATCCAAGTCTAAGCTCAATTCCAGGTCCACCCGAAAGACGGTTACAACAGCTTGGCGACTCTGCTGGGGATAGGTAAGTGAGTCAGGCTAAGGTAATTTCGAGTTGTCTTTTTAACGAAAAGGGTAAGTTTAAATTTTAAGGTAAAATTTTGATATGTTTTATTTACTTTTGATTATATTTTCGAGTAAATAGTTATAGTAATTGTTTTCTCATGATTTCAGCCTTCAAAGTTTTTTTCACTTAAGGCTCTAAACCCGAGCTCCAAACCCGTTTTAAGTGGGGGTGAAAGCAACGCATTCGTGTGAATTTATTCACCACATATGCCTAGCAAGTAGCCTTCGAGATTCATATACCTTATGTCTTCGTGTGAATTTATTCTCCGCATAGACATAAGGGAATGTGTCCTCTCGAGTTTAACTTAGTCCACACAAACCTGTGATGGGTTTAGGACTAAGGGACTGGTAAGCCCAAGGGGGCACCGACAAGGAGAACTCGGGTACCATTTTTTAGAACCTAAACCGAGAGACTATGAAGAATTAGAGCCTACCCCAAAACCACATTCCAAAACATTTTTACCCTAACCATGTTTCTTTTTTATTTTTCTTTTCGTTATTTTATATTTATTTATCTATTTTTTATTTTACTAACTTTTTTGCCTTTGTGTTTGTTTTTTAGGATTTGCATTGATCCCTAAAAAGCATTTGTTATACATAAAATAATCTGAACTAATGGATAAAGGTGTTGTAATACAAGAGATTAAAAACCCCGAGGTACGACTATGGTCTGAGAAGACTCAGAAGGAAAAGGGAGATAGTCTTCAAGGAAACTATGTGTCAGAGCTGGTCAGCTATGCCTCTATCAGCCTAAACAGAATGACGTGCAAGAACTTCGAGATATATGGACAGTTAGAAGAATGATCAGAAACAAAAGTTCAGTCAACGGTACGGTGACATTGCATTTTTGCTTCATATCAAGACTGATGAGCCCTTAATCAGAGCCTTGGTTCAATTCTGGAACCCGGGATACAGTTGTTTTACTTTTAATCAGGAGGACATGGTGCCCACCATTGAAGAGTACACTACACTGATGCACTGTGAAAGTATCATACTAGAGAGGGCCTACCTTAAACACATCAAAAGCCAACCTTTCAAGAATGCACTAGCTAAGGTTGTCGGGGTTGATGAAAAATGGGTAACTGACCGGGCTCGATGTAAAGGCAGTGGGGAAGGAATTGGTTGGCTTCATATAAGCAACTGATGAAGAACCATCCCGATGAGTGGAAGGCATTATACCTGTTTGCACTGGGTCTGTATGGTCTGATTATATTCCCGAAGACTTTGGGTTACATTGATGCTGCTGTGGTAGAGCTGTTTGAACAACTCCCGAAGCAAGTCAACCCAGCACCAGCCATCTTAGCCGAAACCTTTAGATCTCTCAACCATTGTCGAAGAACTGGTGGAGGAAGGTTCGTAGGATGTATACAGCTTCTTCAAGTCTGGATTCACAGCCATTTCTGGAAGACTAACGGGGTTGCCTACCGTCAATTTAGCACCACCTATTCACCTTTGGGAGAGTTCTTCACAATGAAATGGCATGAAGACGTTACAAAGGAAAAATGGATGAAGGTCTTCACTCATCTTCAGGACCGGAATATTACCTGGAGAGCCCCCTGGTTTTTTCTCGGTGATGTTCTTTTTCGAAGTGGGGATTTGATACGATGACCTTACTCGGACTTTGGGGTGCAGTTGGGTATGCTCCGTTGATAGCACTTAGACAGCATGGGGCACGTCAGTTTGTCTCGGTAACATGCGGGCTAGCTAGATCAGAGTTTGTGTATCATGGTGACAGTTATAAGAAGATGATCAAAGAAGCAGCTGATTCGTGGAAGAAAGTATTTCAGATGGATGTTGTAGCTGCCAGAGACATGCTTACTCCAGATTATATGGAGTGACGAAGATTGAGAAAAAATGATAATATCTCGGTACCAGACTGTGAAGACACCCGGACCATGGAGGAACATCTCAGACCTGTCCCTTCTGAACTTGAGATAGCCAAGGAAGAGTTCGAAGCTGTGAATAACGAACTGAAGCAAATGGTTAAGGAACTTGAATCTGAACGTTATCAATGGAAGCTAGATGCCGACTCTCAGAAAGACAGAGCAGACAAACTAGAAAGAGAATAAAAAAGAGTTCGTTTTGAGCTCGAAGATTTGAGAAAGGGGTATCAAGATAAAGTCAAGGATAACTCCAAGTTGAAAGTAACCTTTGAATATTGGAAAGACGAAGCTCACAGTCTGAAAAGGAAGTTCGAGGGGCCTGATGAAAAAGCTTGGAAGGAACAGCTGAAAACTGCTCAAAGGCGCTTGACAGACAGTCAATATCAGAACCAATGCTTGAGAATCCGGGTGACTGACTTAGAGAAACAACATGAGAAAGATGGAAAGACAATAGCAGAGTTAGAAGCAGTTGTAGATGGGTTCAAGAAGCAAGCGAACGAGCTTCAGATAATGCCATTCGACGGAGGATTATAGTGGTGTTTCCGTTGGGAGCAAGCACAACAAAGGGTAAAAGCTAGAGACGTAGTCATCAGAGATTTCCTAGAACAAGTACAGAAGGTAGCCCGTCATCTTCACGACCTAGCAAGGGAAGCCGGAGTCATTTGACAAGGTATTCAACCAGTGACAGATGAAGGCAAATGACTTGTCAATCTACTAGAAGCTGTTTGGGGTCTAGAGGATTTAGTTCGAACGTACCTTTGATTGTTTTTTATGCCTCTTACAAGATAAAACAATTTTGTCTAGATAAGGATTATTTATAATAATGGACACTTTTTTGGATCAATGCCTCTAAATTGCATACAACATGCTGTCAACACACATTTTCGTCCTACTAGAATTCAAACTCCTAAAAATAGGATAAAATTTTGCTAGGATTCAAACTCCTAAAAATAGGATAGAGTTCTACTAAGATTTAAATTCCTAAATA